GGTAGATTTCTTATAACGCAAAGAAAGCTAGCCGCGGTTTTTAGGGCTCGCGGTCTTGATGCTGGCCCGTTACCTTGACGACTCGCGGACAGAAGGCGGAGGTCCACAGAGCTCGCCTGTTGCGCGGCGGTTGCGCGGGCGCCTCCCAATCGAGGCCGATGCTTTCCACGGCCTGAGAGAGCAGACGCATCAGCTCAGTCTCAATGCCGGCTCTCTTACCAGTGGTCTGGCGGGAAACGCTAGCGGAGGGGAGATCCACGGAGCTCGCCCAATCCTCACTATCGGATGCCAGAAGAGAACACGCCTCGGTGGGTTCGTCAAACTCGTGGATGGACGCGGCGGCAGGCGGCGGCCGTTGTCCGTCAGTGAGCGACTCGAGCAAAGCCGGCGAAGCTGGCGGGCGAACCGGCGAGCTTTGGCGGGCTGGAGAAAGCTCGGGAGCGCGCTGGGCGCGGCGCTTCTTGCGGCGCGGCACCACGGCGGGCTGTGGTGAAGGCTCGGAGAATGATGCCAGGCGAGTCCTCAGAGTCACCATGGGCAAAAACTCGCAATGAGGGCATCCGCCGTCAGCGAGCGCGAGAGCCGCGTGATCCTCACCCAGGCAGGAAACACAGATGACGTGCCGGTCTCCATCGCTGAGCGGGGGGCGGCACGAGCCACAGGAAGGCATCTTTAAAAAGACGCAGCTCTTTTTGTGAGAGAAGTGTGAGTCGCGTCAAGTAAGCGAGCAAACACTCTCAACAGAGTAAATACACACAGAGTATAAAAGGATATAGAACGCCGGAAAGCGCAGCAGGTACGGCAGTTGAAGGCGGCGAGGCCAGCGACTCCAGAGCTCGTCCCGCTGAAAGGCTTGCTTCGACGGCGCGGCTTCTCACTCCGGATCCAGCGATGCGTGTGCTTCGCTGAAGAGGTAAAAATCAGCTTGTATCAGCCTAACGAGCATATTTATAGGGTGAGACCACGCCCCTTCTGGCGGGACGTGACGATATGGGCGCGAATTGCCCCCATTGGTCATTACGTCACGCAGAGTCTCTCTCGATAGGCTGCTGCATTTGCTGCAGAGCAACCAATAGGCGCGCGAGCTGTTTCGCCTATGTCTGCTTGCTGCTGCAAAGCGTTTTACATTAATAAAAAATTAAGGATAATTTTTGGCTTCAATATCTCGCGGAAAAGAGTTTTTCCCCTAGCGTAAGCTATTACGCAGTACGAGAGATACTCTCGTAAGAGAACAGAGCGCATGTGGCGGAAGACAAAACTTGTAGTCCATTATAACATCTACAAAGACAGCATCCATGCTTTCAATATGGAACTAGGCAAAGCTAGACAGACTTTCTTCTCGAATATTATAAACAGCAACTTAAACAACACACGCACTCTTTTTGCTACTGTAGAGAGACTGACACACCCCCCAAGCCAGATTCCCAGTGAAATGCTCTCAGACGGCAAGTGCAGTGAGTTTGCTTCTTTCTTCTCTGAGAAAATTAATAATATCAGAAAGGTGATCAGCACATCATTGAGCCGCACTGGGGTCAGACAGATCAGACCACAACCTGAGAATGTAGTTACTATGTCTGATTTCAAAGAAATTGATGGCAAAATTTTGGAAGAAACCGTACAGCACCTTAAAACATCAACCTGCGCCCTTGACTCACTTCCCACATCTTTCTTCAAAAGTGTGTTAAACAGTTTAGAAGCATATCTCCTAAAAGTGGTTAATGCCTCACTTCTTTCTGGTAGTTTTTCAAACTCCCTGAAAACTGCAGTTGTCAAGCCCCTCCTGAAAAAGATCAATCTGGATAAGACCATCTTAAGCAACTATAGACCGATCTCAAATCTTCCTTTCATAGGCAAGAGCATTGAAAAAGTTGTCTTCAATCAGCTGAACAAATTCTTAATCTCGAATGGATACTTTGACAATTTTCAATCTGGTTTCCGATCGCATCACAGCACAGAGAAAGCGCTCATAAAGATAATAAACGATATTCGCTTAAATACTGATACAGGCAAACTATCAGTATTGGTACTACTCGACCTCAGTGCTGCATTTGACACTGTCGATCACGACATACTTCTTGACAGGCTAGAAAACTGGGTGGGGCTTTCTGGGATAGTCCTGAAATGGTTCAGGTCATACTTAGAAGGGAGAGGTTATTATGTGAGTATAGGGGACCAAAAGTCTGAGTGGACATCCATGACTTGCGGAGTCCCCCAAGGCTCAATTCTTGCACCACTCCTATTCAACCTGTATATGCTCCCAATGAGCCAAATAATGAGAAAGAACCGAATCTCTTACCACAGCTATGCAGACGACACACAGCTCTACTTAGCCCTATCACCTAACGACTACAGCCCCATTGACTCCCTGTGCCAATGCATTGATGAAGTAAACAGTTGGATGTGCCAAAACTTTCTTCAGTTAAACAAAGACAAAACTGAAGTCATTGTGTTTGGAAACAAAGATGAAGTTCTCAAGGTGAATGCATACCTTGACGCTAGGGGTCTAACCACTAAAAATCAAGTCAGGAATCTTGGTGTGTCTCTAGAGTCAGACCTTAGTTTCAGTAGTCATGTCAAAGCAATAACTAAATCAGCATACTATCATCGGAAAAATATTGCAAGAATTAGATGCTTTGTTTCCAAACAAGACTTAGAGAAACTTGTGCATGCTTTCATCACCAGCAGGGTGGATTATTGTAATGGACTCCTCACTGGCCTTCCTAAAAAGACCATAAGACAGTTGCAGCTCATACAGAACGCTGCTGCCAGACTTCTGAGCAGGACCAGATAATATGAACATATCACACCAGTCCTCAGGTCTTTACACTGGCTCCAAGTTACATATAGGATTGATTTTAAAGTATTATTACTGGTATATAAATCATTCAATGGGTTAGGACCTCAATATATTGCAGATATGCTCACTGAATATAAACCTAACAGATCACTCAGATCATTAGGATCACATCAGCTAGAAATACCAAGGGTTCACTCTAAGCACGGAGAGTCTGCTTTTAGCTATTATGCCAGCCGCAGCTGGAACCAGCTTCCAGATGAGATCAGATGTGCTCCTACAGTAGTTACATTCAAATCCAGACTCAAAACACATCTGTTTAGCTGTGCATTCACTGAATGAGCACTGTGCCACTGTTCGTCTGACTGTTTTTACTGTACTGTACTTTATTTTATTTTTTATTCTAAACTGTTTTAATTATTCTTATTAGTTTTGATTATTTTAATTTCTTTATTCTAAACTGGTTTAATTATTGTTATTTCTTTAGAATTTTTTTCTTCTTCTATGTAAAGCACTTTGAATTACCATTGTGTATGAAATGTGCTATATAAATAAACTTGCCTTGCCTAAAAACGTGCATTTCGTAATGCACGTTATTGTAATGTGTTTCTTTACTCGTAACATCAAAAAGCAATCTGATCACGTAATGCACATTACTTGTAATTAATTACTTGTTAGATGAAAAAGTAATCTGATTAGGCAATGCATGTTACTTGTAATGCGTTTCTTTACTCGTAACAACAAAAAGTAATCTGATCACGTAATGCACATTACTTGTAATTAATTACTTGTTAGATGAAAAAGTAATCTGATTAGGCAATGCATGTTACTTGTAATACATTATTTTACTGTAACATTAAAACAAATCTGATTATGTAATGCATGTTACTTGTAACATCAAAAAAGTAATCTGAATGCATTATGCCTGCCCCAACACTGCTCATTTCAGATGAGATTGAAAAAAAAACGTATCACTAGGTTTTCTCAGAGGAGGGCTATGCTAGAAATGTGTCCATCTTGAACAATCAGAATTATCAGCTAATAAGGGTAAATTGACATACTGTACTCTGGTACACTGGAGTGGGGTGGAGCATCTGAGTGGTTTCCGCAGTTGTACCTTGACAGGCTGTAGAAAATTCTGATGGAATCACGTCCTCATGTTCTGATATCAAAGATACACGAAGTGCAACTTGTACGAAGGTCAATTGCCAATATTTTGGAATTTTTTAATATATTTTATAGTTTTCACATGATTTGATATAATTGTATTAATTAGTTAGTTAAATACACATACTTTATCTGTTTGATTATTGTATTATGTTTAATACAGTATCTCTTCAGTTTAAACCATAAATGCATGCTGTCCACTCAAGTGGACATCTGAAAATCTCTTTGAAAAATGTGTTTAAAAAAAAATTCAAATCAAATCTTGTTTTTCATGCCCTAAGAGCAATAAAAACACATAGGAAAAAAAATCCTGACTGAGGTTATGATCATTCATGCATGAAAGGGTTAATGGCCAATTCGCATGGGATAAGATATCTCAGTAAAACTAGCAGAAGTGGGAGGGGTAACTCGCGTCACCCTCCTGTCATCATGTGTGTATTACGCTGCTTCCTGATATCACGTACGCAAACACATATAACCTATATTTATATATATATAACAGTTAGGTCCGGTCAAAAGATGTATTAATTAAATTAAGATTGGATTGTGTTGGTAATAGGCACTTACCTAACGCTAAAAGAAGTTTCGTGCCTCTAACAAGTGCTTTCGATCTTCCTTCTGATCTGAATGGTGTGTGGGAAACACTTGAGTTTTGCCACAGACTTTTCCCAGCATCTAGAATGCAACTGAATGCTTTTTCCAGTGTCTCCATACTTAAAAAAACTGCGGAAAACTACTTTTAAACAGGAAATGATGGAATATTTACGTACATATTTACAGCGGGTCTATTCGCGCTGGATTAGTGTTATCTGAGGTCATTTTTCTGGACCTTTTTACAGCAGGTAAAAGTCGCCGTAATCTTTACTGACACTGTCCGTAATGATAACCGAGACGGCACATTCGGACGGGCCAAAAATCACAGAGAAGCTCTGGTAATAATTACTTTACCCCTCATCTCCATGTTAAACTAACCCCGTCCGAATAGGGCTATAGTGTACCTTTAAGTAATAATAAGATAAAACAAAAATAATAGCTGCACCTTGGTGAGAGCTGTGAGGTCCCTCTCTCTCAGTGGCAACCCGTGCAGATGAAGCGTCTTCAGGCTGCTCGACTCACACAGGCACTTCTGCACAGCCTTACACAACTGAAGCGTCATATTCCTGGAATGAATCACAGGAGTCTTCTTCTTATTATGGGCCTTGTAAGAACCTGAGAAGAAAAGACACTCAATCGTAACAAGAGTTTTGAGGATCCAGGGCAGCTTCCTCAAGGAAAACATTTTTATTTAACAAGTTACGTTGCAATTTAAAGGGTTAGTTCACCCCAAAATGAAAACTCTGTCAGTAATTACTCTCCCTCATGTTGTTCAACCCCGTAAGACTTTCGTTCATCTTCGGAACACAAATGAAGATATTTCTGATTAAATCTGAGAGCTGGATCACTCCTCCATAGGCTTCTAAGGGATTGAAACTTGCCGGCCCAGAAAAGTTATTAAAGACATCGTTAAAATAGTCCGAGTGACTACAGTGGCTCAATCTTAAGTTTATCAAGCGACGAGAATACTTTTTGTGCGCAAAAAACAAACAAAAATAACGACTTTATTCAACTATTCATTTCCTTCTCTGTGGGCCTCGAGATAGTTCACGTAGGGTAACAGCGCAGCGCTTCTGGGTTGTACGTCACACGTAGGCTCACTATTGGCCGACGCTGGTCATGTGTGTGTGTGTGTGTGTGTGTGTGTGACGGGGTTGGAACAACATGAGGATTAATAATTACTGACAGAATTGTCATTTTGGGGTGAACTATCCCTTTAATTAAATAATAACTTGTGCTGGCCTGTACATAATATGTGCAGTACAGTTTAATATATTTCCAATAGATGTTTTTTGTAAACACTATAACACATGTGCAACAGACACTCATTGTGCCTTCAGTGTATATTGTGTGGTTGTCTGTTCACTGACTTTGAGCTCCAGTGCTGGTGAGGTGACAGCTCTTGATGGACACATGCTGGAGGTGTTTGTTGATGGCCAGTGCTGACAGTACGGGCTTCCAGTCCGCTAGACTGATGTGATCCGGGTTGAAGTCTAACGTCCCTCGACTCAGGCTGGCCTTCACCGCGCGGACAGGGTTAATTACACCCAACACTGTCTTAAAGGTACAGTAACTAAAAAGTGGGTGTGAAAAATCATAATGTAGGACTCAATATATTGTATAATTAAATGAACGTGTGCAGAACAACGTGCAGAATGTGTCAACTTTCATTTGAATAAATTAAGCCACTTGAAGAATGAATATAATCAGCTAAATAAAATAAGTAATCAGTATATTATCAGTAAATCCACCTGATATAGTAACGTTATACAGAAGACCAGAAGAAAATAAATTCTCCTTTACTCTTCAGATCCTGATAGCTGAAGAAAACATCGATATTAAATACACGTCAAAATAGCGTGTTATCTATCCACGTAATTTGGCCAGGTTATTCCTCAAATCTCTATGATAGATGTAGGCCTATGTATACGTTACCTTTAATAACGAACATGAGTTTTGTTTTGTCTAAACTACATCAAGCGGTTTAAAGCTGATTTGCTGGTTTTATTTATCTGTTAAAATGAGTTAAAGAGGGATTACCTGTTTGTTAGTTCTATTGTCGTGGTTTCCACTCTAGAGACTGATAACTAACCCAGCGTGTCAAAACAAACCGCGGTGGTTTGGAAGGGAAACCGCGTCTCATTCTGCGTGTGAAACTCCATATGCGCATGTGCGATCAGCGCCAGTGGCCGAAGGTACAACAGCGTCACTTAAAGGGGCCACGTCAGGAAAAACAGGATTGTCCTTGCTTTACTGTTGTTGACGATTCAATATAATTAGCTATTCTAAAATCATCATGGTTTTGACATAAGATTAAGAACAATAAGTGCTACCAGGGGCCCGTTTCAATAAGGAAATATGAATGAAACTATTCCAATCCTGATTGGTGTTGCGTCATGACGTAACATGTGACGGCATAACCGGATGCATAAAAGCGACGCCGGCACAAACACACGTTTGCTTCAGCAAGCGCTCTGTGTCAAACTGTCTGTCCTATTTGGTGTTGTTTGTCCCATAAGATTGTCCTAATAATTGCAATATAGAATCTAGTGGCTCGGATCTCGCGTTTGCTGAGGCAGCGTGTAGATTACGGGTCTACTTTGCAATGAAGATTCTGTGACTGGGATCTCGCGTTTGCCGAGGCAGCGCGTAGATTTAAGGTCTGCATTGCAATTCAGAATCTAGTGGCTCGGATCTCGCGTTTGCCGAGGCAGCGTGTAGATTACGGGTCTACTTTGCAATAAAGATTCTGTGACTGGGATCTCGCGTTTGCCGAGGCAGCGCGTAGATTTAAGGTCTGCATTGTAATAAAGAATCTATAGTGACTCAGATCTGGCGTTTGTCGAGGCAGCGCGTAGATTCGGTCTACTTTGCAATAAAGATTCTGTGACTGGGATCTCGCGTTTGCCGAGGCAGCGCGTGGATTTAAGGTCTGCATTGCAATAAAGAATCTATAGTGACTCGGATCTCGCGTTTGTCGAGGCAGCGCGTAGATTCGGTCTACTCTGCAATAAAGATTCTGTGTGGGTGCGACTGTGTGGGTGCGAGGCAAGCACAGTCAGCTCCTGAGGGTGCTGGCTGTGTTCAATGAGAAATATCTCGACGCACACAGCCGTGCGTTTTCGGGTGTTTCAGCCTCGCGCCCGTTGACTTTCTTCTCGAGAGATGAAAGCCAAAATATATTGTGAATGACTCCAATCTCGCGTTGCCGAGGCAGCGCGTAGATTACGGGTCTACAATAAAAGGGACACACAATCTGGGAAATAATACTGTTTGAGTGCGAGGCATTCACAGTCAGCTCCTGAGGGTGCTGGCAGTGTTCATTGAGAAGTATCTCGACGCGTAGGCCTACATAAACCGTGCGCTGTCGGATGTTTCAGCCTCGCACCTGTTGACTTTCTTCTCGAGGGATGAAAGCCAAATATATTGTTACGGCTCGATTCTCGCGTTTGCCGAGGCAGCGTGTAGATTACGAGACTGTAAATAATATTGAAACAGTATTGTTTGGTGATTATGGCTGCATTTAATTCTATGAAATTAAAATGATGGAATATTATCTCACTTTATGAAGTTAGATATTTAATTCAGCCTACCATTATATGATGTTTTATAAACAAGGTTCGGGAGGAGCACGTTCAAATAAATCATTCCAATCAACTCGTCACCAAACTATTACATGTCTACCCTATCAGCACGAGAGGAAGCATATATAAATATCCACTGTCAACTCACCTAGCATTCCTTGACAGTTTCAGCATCCCTCCACCACCCCGACTCCTCACTCCTGGCTCATTCTTCCACAGTCAGGAACGGGGGAGTACTATGGGTTCGGGCCGCATACCGAGCCCGGAGCCCTCTCCTCGGACAGCACGCCAAATATGCATTTATTCTATCTGACATATTTGTAAGTGTGAACTCGTGAACCAGTGTTTATGGCTGCATTTAATTCTGAGGAATTAAAACGATGATCGGCGAACGTCGTGAATCATTTTAAATTTTTCCCTGCCGGGTTTCCGCTTCAGGGTATCGAAAAAAGACGGAAATAGCAGGGCTGTCCTCCCCGTGGAGGGATGAGCGAGAATCGCTCCTCCGCGGAGCCCTCAGGAAATCGATGTTTGTATCCAGCGTCAAGTGCGTTTCGGGACACATCGGTTTTCAGCGAATGCACGCTGCAGTGTCCGCCACAAAGGCTTGCGGCCAGGCAGTGTGCGCATCCACACATCCACGGAAACTGTTTTCGATTATTCCCTGCCGGTCTTCCGCTTCAGGGTGTCGAGAACGAAACCGAAAGAGCCTCCCATCTGGGGAGCCCTCAGGAAATAGTTGTCTGTATCCCGCCATAAGTGCGCTTCGGGACACATCGGTTTCCAGCGAACGCACGCTGCTCTGTCTGCCCCACAGGCTTGCGGCCAGGCAGCACTCGTGTCAGCACATCGAGAATCATTTCGACCAAACCCTGCCAGAGAGCCGCTTCAGGGGATCGAGAACGAATCTCGAACGATACCCGAAGCCAGTCTCGAGAGGCTGGTTCCCTTGGGGTACAGACTGCAGTTCAGTTTCCACCCACCAAAGTTCAACGGGGTGGTCTGGACTGTAGTTGACCCAAAGCAGGGTCGGGTATTGGAACAAGAAGTAAACTCCCTGCTGGTAAAGGAGGCTATAGAACGTATTCCTCCCCCAGACAGGGAGTCTGGGTTTTACAGCCGCTACTTCATAGTTCCCAAGAAGGATGGGGGGTTGCGTCCAATAATAGATCTTAGGCACTTGAATTGGTCTCTGAGGAGGTTCAGGTTCAAGATGCTCACCATCGTGAATCAAATTCAATCCGAGGATTGGTTTGTCACGATAGATCTGAAGGACGCATACTTCCATATTTCCATCCTTCCATGTCACAGGAGGTTCCTGAGGTTCGCTTTCGGAGGCGAAGCGTACCAATATTGGGTTCTTCCCTTCGGCCTAGCTCTCTCCCCTCGCACCTTCACCAAGTGAATGGATGCAGCGCTGGCTCCGCTGAGACTCCAGGGCATCCGTGTACTCAATTACATCGACGACTGGCTAATATTGGCCAGGTCGTGCAAGATGGCAGTTCGGCATCGAGATGTCGTTCTCGCCCACATCAGGTGCCTGGGGCTGAGACTCAACACAAAGAAGAGTGTGTTGATGCCCTCCCAGAGGACTACGTTCCTGGGGGTTATATGGGACTCCACGACGATGCGGGCACAAATGTCTCCCGCACGCGTGGAGTCCATACGGGCGATGGTCTCCAGAGCAAAGCTAGGCCACAACCTCACTGTGAAGCAGTTTCAGAGACTGCTGGGGCTCATGGCAGCAGTGTCCAGTGTCATACCTTTTGGCCTGCTACACATGAGACCCCTACAGTGGTGGTTGGGAGCCAAGGGGTTTTACCCGAGGGGAAATCCGTTCCGTATGTTCAGGGTAACGCGCAGATGCCTTCGTTCTCTTGTCATATGGACGAAAACCTTGGTTCCTGTCCCAGGGACCGGTGCTGGGAGCATCATGTTGCTGGAAAACCGTTTCAACAGATGCCTCCCTCACTGGTTGGGGCGCGGCCATGGACGGCCGCTTTGCCAGGGGTCTGAGGCAGGACCATCATAATTCTTGGCATATAAATTGCCTGGAGATGTTGGCTGTGTTCAGGGCTCTGAGGAGCTTCCACCCAGACGTCAAGGGTTACCATGTCCTGATACAATCGGACAATACATCAGTGGTAGCTTATCTGAACCGACAAGGGGGACTCAGATCGCGCCCTCTATCCAGACTGGCGCATCAGATTATCCTTTGGTCCCAAGGGAAACTATTGTCTATCAGAGCAATGTACGTTCCGGGGGTTCAGAATCAGGGAGCAGACATCCTGTCGAGGCAGGGGCTGAGGCCCGGGGAATGGAGACTTCACCCAGATGTGGTGAAGTTGATATGGGAGAGGTTTGGACCAATGGAAGTGGATCTCTTTGCGTCTCGAGAGACGTCCAACTGTCCACTTTGGTTCTCCCTCACACATCCAGCCCCACTGGGGTTGGATGCCATGGTACATGCCTGGCCGAGGCTACGCCTGTATGCTTTTCCCCCGATCGCTCTGCTCCCGGGAGTCCTGGAGAGGGTCCGTCAGGAGGGCATCAGTCTTCTTCTGGTAGCCCCGCTGTGGCCGGCCCGAGTATGGTTTTCAGACATAATTTCACTCCTGATAGCTCCGCCGTGGCAGATTCCTCTGAGGAGGGATCTGTTGTCTCAGGCGGAGGCCACAATATTCCACCCTCGCCCAGAGCTGTGGAAACTGTGGGTCTGGCCCCTGAGGGGGTTCAGTACCTAAATGCTGGTCTATCAGCCGGAGTGGTTGAAACCATACTTAGCTCTAGGGCTCCGTCTACTAGGAGATTATATGGCCTCAAGTGGAATGTATTTTCCACTTGGTGTAGAGAACATGAGTTAGATGCAGTTAACTGCTTGGTGGCTTCAGTTCTGGAGTTTCTTCAAGATCGTTTCTCTGCCGGTCTCTCCCCTTCCACACTTAAAGTGTACGTGGCTGCCATTGCGGCTTTCCATGCATCACTGAGTGATGGGCCTCTGGGGAGGCACCAGCTGGTCATTCGTTTTCTCCGTGGTACATGGAGGATGAGACCGACGACCAGGTCCAGGGTTCCTGCCTGGGACCTGGTGGTGGTTCTCAAAGGGTTATCCCTGGCCCCCTTCGAACCCCTTCAGTCGGCTTCGCCCAAGGACCTGACGTTCAAGTTGGCTTTTCTTTTAGCTATTACCTCTTTAAAGAGGGTGGGAGATCTTCAAGCCCTGGCAGTAACACCAGCCTGCTTGGAGTTTGCCCCTGGCAGAGTTAAGGCCATTCTGCATCCGAGACCTGGCTATGTGCCTAAGGTGCCTTCTAACTCGGCACGGTCTACGGTCCTGCAGGCATTTCATTCTCCACCTCATGTGTCGGCAGAAGAAGAGAGGCTCTATTTGCTCTGCCCTGTCAGAGCATTGAGCATTTACATCGAGAGGTCCTCTTCGTGGAGGAGGTCGGACCAACTGTTAGTGTGTTTCGGGTCACCTAAGAAGGGGCTCCCTGCATCCAAACAAACCATTAGTAATTGGATTGTTCAGGCTATTGCCTTGGCCTACAAGGTGCGCAGTTTGCCTTCACCTTTGGCCATAAGGGCTCATTCTACCAGAGGCATGGCGTCCTCTAGGGCCCTCCTCTCGGGAGTGCCCCTCCAGGAGATCTGTGAGGCAGCCGGTTGGGCTACCCCGCACACTTTTATCAGGTTTTATAGTCTGCACCTCCCTAGTACGCCTGGCGCACATGTGCTCTCGTCCTAGCTGAGTGCCTGAGATCAGTTTCACTCTAGGGCAGGCCTTTTTTGGTGCGTGGCCTAGTGGTCATTCGTTCCCCAAAGAGTCGTTTTCACGCCCCTCAATGCCTGAGAGCGGCTTGCTTCATCGCTAGGCTAATGTGTGTTTGTGCCGGCGTCACTTTTATGCATCCGGTTATGCCGTCACATGTTACGTCATGACGCAACACCAATCAGGATTGGAATAGTTGCATTCATACTTCAGAGGTGCACGCTAAGGGAGCGTCCCCAAAGAGTCGTTTTCAACGACCCAGTGTCTCGTTCCCTTCTCAGGGAACAAGGGTTATAGTCATAACCCGAGACGTTTTCGGTTACAGAACAGCTTAAATGAGTAAGTTCAATCAACTCTAAGTTGACTGACTCTGAGTTAAGCGCGTGCACCACAACTATAAAAAGCCATTATCAATGGAGCGCAGATATTATGTGTCACCATGGTAACAGCGCCAGACAAAAAGAGGTCTGCATATTTCTCCCCAGCAGTACGCAAAAAATAAAATAAAAATTAAGTAACACGGCAGCAGCGGCGATCGAGAGAGTTAGTTTGGGAGAAAATAGTTGCTCGAATCAATGCGTAAGTTTACATTTTAATTACGGTTATACAGTATTGGGTGTAACCAAGTAATCTAAATACTGTCCTTTTGGGAAAGGGATTACTCTTAATTCTTCTGTAATATAAAGTAAAATATGATGTCATTGCATTAAATACTGCATAGACTATAGAACAATTCTGTTTAAAACAATAGTGGATTTAGCATAACATTTTTAAAAGGTATATTTTTAATGTAACCTTCACTCTACACACTTTGGTCAATTCAAGAATAGTTCATGCAATTGTATATTGTTAATTTGAAAGCATTAAAAGTGCAGTTTTGTTTCTTTTTGTATTGTTCAAGTGGTTGAGGTTGATATGGGATTTAGAAAGTAATTAGTAATAAATAGACCAATACTTTCTGGAGGTAGTACACTAACTTGATGAACCACGTTAGCCATTTTCACCTGAGCTATAACGCCTGCTCTAGAGTAAGATGAGCTCCAGCGTCACCCGAATCCGCAGCCAAAAACATCATCCACCCGCCCTAATAATGCTCTCTGATTTAAGTGTCCGCACCCGATGGTCAAATTACAATTATTCTGTGTTGTTACGCGTGATTATAAATGGATGATCGTCACCTTCAACAGCGGACTCGGCGACGGTTGATGCGCACATCTCCAGGGTAACATTATACACTGATGAATGAGCGCTGCTTTTAAATGAACATTTCTTTAAAACAAAATTGATTTGACAGAATTTCATTTTCTTAATGGCATAAACAGGCTTTACTCCCTTGAAACTTAAACTGGAATGTCACTTTTTCTGTCACTGTGACTTCCAGAACAGGCGAACACTCACACGCGCGCGCGCACGCACATAGCTTTTGAAGTAAAATTGAAAAGTGAAGATACAGTGCATCGTAATGCATCGTAATAACTGAACTGAATTGATGACATGATAATCGTAATTGAACCGTACCGTGAGACCAGTTTAGGTTCACACCCCTAGTTCGATAAGACGTGAAAGATAACTTAGTTTAATACTCACGTGATGCTCCATTTGACATCCAGCTTTCTGTGCGCGAGCTTCGGGTGTAGGCGCTCTGAAATCTATATATCAGAAGTTTAGACTGATAAGGCTTTAAAACGCATGCAGATAATAAACTGCAATGTGAACAAAATAGAGATCAATCAACACCAAACAGATGTTTTTAGTTTTTGTCAGAGTATCTGTGGCACGAGCTGCACAGGCTCCGCCCTCTTCTGGAAAGTGGGTGGGATCAAGCAGCTCATTTACATTTAAAGATACATGCACAAAAACGGCATGTTGCAAAAATGGGCATTTACAACATGATGTAATAAATTATCTGTAGTGTATTTTGAGCTGAAACTTCATAGACACATTCTGGGGACACCTGAGACTTATATTACATCTGGTAAAAAGGGGCATAATAGGTCCACTTTAAAGAAATTAATATATTTTTAATTCAGCAAGGGTGCATTAATTTGGTAAGTGACAGTAAAGACTACAAATGTTATAGAAGGTTTCTATTTCAAATAAATGCTGTTCTTTTGAACTTTCTATTCATTAGAGGATCATGAAAAAGTGTTTCCAACAAAATATGGAAACATTTCAGGCATGATCTACGGTTTCCACAGAATTCTGAAGGATCATGTGACACTGAAGACTGGAGTAATGATGCTGCAAGAGTTCAGATTTGATCACAGGAATACAATACAGTTTACTATATATTCACATAGAAAACAGTTACTTTATATTTTAATAATATTTCACAGTTCTTACTGTATTTTTGATCAAATAAATGCAGCCTTGGTGAGCAGAAGAGACTTCTTTCAAAAACATAAACATTTTTATTCTGATTGAAGTCCTAACTAATAAGGAGAGTAATACATTTGAAAAAAAGAAAGAATAATAATCATTAATCTCACATGGAAGATAATCTTACCAACCCCAAACTTTTGAATGATAGTGTATTTATTGTTTTATTTATCGCTGAAGACATTCCCCAGCCTCATTCCCAACCCGAAGTGCCTCTAACTCCAGTTGGCTTGTGTCGTTACTCCCAAACGTTACAGGAGCCTCTTGAGTTTGAGGCCCCGGAGCAGAGCCG